TTGAGGAAAAGAATCTTTATTTCTATTGATCCAAACTCACACTATAGTTTTTTTTAATGTAAAAGCACAAATCATTTCCCACTTGAAGCATAATGAAAAAAACACATAAATACATAGCCGAAGCACTTGGAGCACAAAAAGTTCCCCTGCCATCGTAATTCAGACACACCCTTCCTTTAACTTCTATCAAACACACACGCGCGCACACACACATATATATAATTCAGTTATGAATATAAAAATTAAACACAGAATACGCATAAATAGATAAAATTTTACAGAATTTGATATGAAGGGATTAGATCCACTTTTAAAAAATCTTGTCCCTTAATATAAATTACGTGTCATATTTTGTGACTATAGTTTCTGTGTTCTTAGACTTATTTGAAGAGAATCTTTAAAACGGTCGAGACGACAATCTCCCAAAGGTAGAGAGTAGGCAGCTTTCTTGAATTCACTCCAAGTGAACGGTTTGTAGAGACTTGGTTTTTGGGGTGATACCATCTTTGGAAGAGGAGAGATCCATGCATTAAGGGGTGGAGCCCCAAAATATATCATTGACATTCTGGGTTTCACTGAATTTGCTACTATTACTCTGTGTCTTGCGCTCACAAACTTTCCATTTGTCATAGCCTTTCATTGCCAACATCAATTAGGAATATGTCAATAACAAAATTGGAAAAGATATGTGCCATGAAAAAGTATCCCGAAAATAAAATATATGATATAAGTTTATATTAATGTAGTATGAATCATATTTAAAATAAATTTAGTTCATACATTTCATTTTGGGAGTGTTGTTTTCTTTCTAGTTTCATAGTTTTGACTTGTCAAGCTTAATGGGAGTTAATGAAAATGTCATACAAACATAATTTCTGTATAAAAAATAAATAATAATTGCATACTGAATATGGGTAAAATAATAAAAATGAATATATATACTAACCTGTAAAACATCACCTACAAACACGCAAAATTCAGTGGGGTCAGGAGTGACAGGGACCCATAACCCATCATGTAAACAAATTTGAAGGCCTTCAACATCGTTTGATCGCAAGATGGTCAAGATTTGAGGGTCAGAATGCTCTCCAAACCCCATACGAGTGTTTGCATTAAGCTTTGGAGATGGATCCCATTCCCTAGAGTTTTCCATAGGAGGGTAGTGATTGAGCCTGAAACATGAATCACTATGGACGTCTCCGATAAGCCTACTGAAGACAGATTTGTCTGGAACAAATAAACCTTCAGCCACTAGATCTAGCATCTCGCATGTCAAGCTCCTAACTGCTTGTATATAATCATTCACAGCACAACTGTCAAATATAAAATTCATTTCAAACTCTACACCATAGGAAGAATAGGAAATATTGATAATTTCTCAGCCTCTATGTCATATAAAATTATTGAGGTATTTTAGAGTGTCATGTGCTACTTGTCATATAATTTTACTCCAAAAGCCTAATACTTCAATAACAAAATATTAAATACCACATATGTTAACATAGTTTATACTAACACAAAGTGACGGGTCCTACTACAAAAGGATTATATTTTATTATCGTAACATAGGGCTCTTTGAGCATCACGTTAGTTTAGCCAACCTATAACTTTAGGTTCGAGTCTTTGTGAGGGTGATGTGAGTCTCATATCCCAACTTTAGCTCTTCAGGATGTTGGTGGGACTAGGGGTCCATCCATGCCTCTCCTCGTCTCGTTTTGGTTCTAAATCTCTTGCAAATAGGAACTCTTATAATTATTCTTATAAAAGATTATCACAATGAATTGAGCTCTCCTATTTATTTTTTTATTTTAAATTAGTAAAATAAAAAAAAGAATTGTAGAAGACGATAAAATATCTGAGGGATTTTAAGCTGAGAAAAACATCAGCATTTTCATGATCATCGCCAGCTTGGAAATTCTTTAATTGGAAAAAAATGTTGAAGGCAGAGGTCCCCCTCTCCCTATCCAAAATTGGTAAAAGACATAACGCAATGCATGGAGGCTCAATCTCTATCTTTGATTTTGATTTTGATTTGTTTCTGACACTATTATTGTACTAAGTTTTTGATTTGTTTCTACTCTGTTACTGTACTACCACTTCAATTTCTTCCAATGCCATCATTGCATGGACTTGAAATAATCCATAAAGTTGAAGCAATGCATGTGCAATGCTTTACCCAGGACAAATATACCTATAATCAGTAATATTATTTATTTTAAAAATTCAATATCATTTAAATTCATTTTAAATATAATTACTACTGCATAAAAGTTAAATTTAAATCCTACGTTAATTTTTAGAGTAAGATTCTAGATACAATTTCTGAGCCTTTATCTATTTTAATCTATAAGTAGTTTACAAGGTTTTTAATTTTTTTTTCTTTAATTTCTTTTTGAACTTACTAAGATCTCATGTCAATTTCATTTGTATACTTTTCAGGTAATAATTCCCTTCCAGAAAAAATTCTCATGGCCTTTGAATCAAAAAATAAAATAAAATAAAATAAACTCACATGAACTTGTATACTTTTTCAGGTAATAATTCATATTTAACTCATGACCTTTGAATAAAATAAAATTAAAAAAATTCACGATCTTATATGAGATTTCCTTTCTTTCTTTTTTTATAATAGGTAAACTTGGAAAAAAAAATAATTAACTATTACGTATAACTTTTATAATAGGGACAATGGGGACATATAAATACCATCACATATTGTATTAAATTTCTCTTCATAAGAGTATGGCTGAAAAGGAGTCAAGTTGTAAGTTGTTCAAACTTGCTTTGATAATTTAACAAGATTAAAATTATATTCAAACTTAGCTTATTTATGTAACAATTTGATCTCAAACGAGTTTTTAATGAGCCAAACACAAGTCGAGCTCACGTAATTTAATTTTTTATAATACATATAAGTTTATCAAACAGTGTAGTAGGCTATTCAAACTTTGTTTGAAAACTTAACAGCTTTAAATTTGTGTTCAAACTCAATTTCTTTACATAACGAATCGATCTCAAATGAATTTTTAATTAGTCGAATTCAAGTACTTGATTCGTTTAATAACCCTATATAGAAGTTAAATTCAAAATCTCACACTAAAAAATGGTGCTATATAACCACAAGTCCAAAACCTCTAGTTTTGATATTTCGATTGTTGAATGAATAGTATTCTCTATTCAATATCTCTTGGCCTAACAATGCTTAGTGATCGTAATTTTTACTCAAATTTTTATTTAAAAAAAATTAAGATATAATTTATATTCATTTTATATGTAGATATCATCATATAAGAGTTAAGTTTGATCATACAACGGTTAAATTGGAACACTTTGAGCAAAACATGAACTTTTTAAATAAAATGCTAGTTATAAATTATGGATAATTTACTGCTCTAGCCCTAAACCTCCTATACATTGCAAAAAAATATGACGTCGCCCTTTGTCATAATGATATTTTGATTTTTTCATTTTATTTTATAAATGAAGTTGAAATTTTCATTTTATTTCTTAAGAATACTGAATTGGAAAAATCATCAAAGTTGAAAATTACTGATCTATAATTATCATATCTTTAAGAAATTTACAAATTTCTTAATTATTTTTAAATTTAAAAAAAATTATAATTTTTATATAGTTGATGATGAACCTTTCAAAATGAGATTAAGGTTTTTTTTTTTTTTTTTGGTTGGCGATACAAATTAACTTTCCTTTCCAGAATCTTATATACATGTATATTTATTTATTTTTTTTTTCTTGAACACAATATAGCGTCCATTTGTAAGGAACTGACACCAATACAGAAAAAAATATTAATTAGCCTTTCAGTCACCTAATGCACCGAACAAATAGGATGCGGTAGTGCTACATGCACTAATTAATATATTAATTAATGTATCAATACTAGTTATGGTATTATTATTGACCTTACTCATTAATCACATTACAAATTTTAAAAACCTCTTAAATTATGTCACATCATCAATTAGTACATTAGTTAGTATATCAATTGATACATATAGCATTATTCTTGCAATTTAAATTAGATATTTGTCACTCTACCGTTTAATAAAGGTGGATTAATATAATGTGCCATCTGTAAAGTTTCTTGCTACGCCATATTTTTGTGCTTATTTTGTCAATTTAACTCATGCCTTTGATTTATGTAAAACGGTTGTGTAAATAATTATTGGCATTGAAAAGAAGTTGATACGGAAAATAGACAAGTGGCTTCTTTTCAACATTATTTGATGACTTTTAGTCAACGTGTAAATAATTGCTTTTTTAATCCGTTAATACTATAAATTTAAATTTAATTATTTAAAAATTATTTAAAATTATCATTTTATGATTTAAAATTTATTTTACATATATATTTTACACTATACCAATTTAATCTCCATCACACAGCTCTCATTTAAGATAAATTCAAAATATTTAAGTAAGATTCATAGTATTTCCATTTTAATTTAGGAGAACTCCAAAATTGCAATAGAGAGATATACATACCAACTAAGAATGGGATAGCCATGAACAAGATTATATACCAATTATGTTCTTTTAGATTCATGAAAATTTGATTATAACACTTGAGACAATCCTTTTAAATGAAATAAATGACGCACATTTAATAGGACTCATATCAAGTAAGAAAATTATCACTGATTATTCTATGATCAAATTCTGGATTTTTGGGAAGTTAGTAAAAGGCTAATTTTTGACTTTTTACCAAGCTTTTTAGTTTTTTTGGAAGTGATTTGGAAGATTGGTAAAAAACTGACTTTTTACTTTTTAGTTTAATATTTATTTATGATGTCAAATCAAATTAAAATGACCAAAATACCCTTATCCTTACCCACATCACCATTGAAGCCAATATTTTTGCAGCCATAACCAAATGGACTAGGCAGGTCCCCCGCTTGTTGTTGCTTCTAAGAAGCGGGTTTTGCGAAAAAATCACTCCCTTCCTTCTCCATTCTTGCAATGATCTCCATGGGAACACCATGGTTGACCACCTTGAAGAAACCATAGTCTTGACATGCCTGCACAATTTTCTCAGACGACACAGACCTCTCAAGAGAGAGGTCAATAATGGGAATTCCCACAGCGACCCTTTGGAGGCTGAAAAATGGTTGACAGAAATGGAGAAGTTGTTTCCCGTTTTTGAGTGTACGGATGATCAGAAGGTGACCTATGCTACGTTTATGCTACAAGGGATAGCTAATGATTGGTGGCAGATGGAGAAGCGCATACACGAGCATGATGCCAACCCCTATACATGGGAAAGGTTTAAGAAGGCATTCAATGAGAAATACTTCCCTAGGAGTGTTCGTCTACAAAAACAGAGGGAATTTTTGAAGTTAGAGCAAGGGAATAAGACGGTTGCAGAATATGAAGCTGAGTTTACGAAGTTGTCTAAATTTGCATCAGCATTTGAAGCAGATGAGGATAGCAGAGCACGAAAGTTTGAAGGTGGACTAAGAACGAACATTATGCAACAAGTGGTTCCTTTCGAGTTACCTACTTTTGGAGCAGTGTTGAATAAGGCATTGTTGGTTGAGAGTGGCCTTACTAGAGCCCAAGAAGAGAAAGAAGAGAATTATAAGAAGAGGCCTAGTTCTTCCAACTTCCAAACTAACAATTCGAAGGGCAATGCTAAGAGACAAAACACTTCTTCGGTTGGGAGTTGGGGAAGTCGAACTATGGGTAGTAGTGTTGATAAGAAGAATGATCGGGTACAATGCACTAGGTGTAATAGATTCCATCGGGATAGTGAGTGTCATTGGAATACTGGGGCTTGTTTCTCTTGCGGGCAACAGGGGCACAGGATAGCTGATTGCCCTAATCGGAAGGGGCATGAGATTGAACAGAAAGCATGGACAAATAAAGGAGCATCAACAGACAAAGGGTCTTCAAGAAGTCAAAAGAAAAATGGAGGTCATAAGCCAAAGACTCAGGGTCGAGTGTACGCACTCACGCAACAAGATGTTCAGACTTCCAACACGGTGGTGTCAGGTACTGTTTTAGTGTCTTCTGTTTATGCACACGTGTTATTTGATTCTGGCGCTACAAATTCATTTGTGTCTATGGGATTTGTTAAGAAACATGGATGGAGATGTGTCTCTAGAGAGATCGACTTATGTGTTGAAACCCCGATAGGAGGGGTTATGGTTGCTGACTTAATTTGCAAGTCTCGTGTGGTTAGTATAGATGACAGGAAATTGCTTGTAGACTTAACTGTTTTAGATATGCGAGACTTTGACATAATTCTTGGAATGGATTGGTTGGCAACCAATTATGCTTCTGTGGATTGTCGAGGCAAAAGGGTAGTATTTCAGTTTCCTGATCAACTAGAATTTTGTTTTCTGGGCAGTGGACTTAACACTCCTCCTTTGGTAGTCTCAGCTTTGCAAGCTAGACGATTATTGAGGAATGGTTGCGAGGGTTATTTTGCATCTGTGAGAGATATTCATGAGACTGGATTGAAGTTAGAGGATATGCTAGTTGTAAAGGAATTTCCCGATGTTTTTCCTGACAACTTCTGTGAGAGATACTCATGAGACTGGATTGAAGTTAGAGGATATTCTAGTTGCAAAGGAATTTCCCGATGTTTTTCCTGACGACTTACCGGGTTGCCACCAGATAGAGAGATTGAGTTTGTCATCAAATTGATACTCGGCATGGGTCCTATCTCTAGGGCTCTGTATCGAATGGCCCAACAGAGTTGAAAGAGTTGAAGGAACAATTACAAGAGTTACTAGATAAGGACTTTATTAGGCCTAGTGTTTCTCCTTGGGGTGCGCCCGTTTTATTTGTGAAAAAGAAGGATGGTAATTTTCGCCTTTGCATTGATTATCGAGAGTTAAACAAGGTGACAATCCGAAATAAATATCCTTTGCCTAGGATAGATGACCTATTTGATCAGTTGCAAGGGGCACAAGTCTTTTCTAAGATTGACCTTCGTTCTGGCTATCATCAGTTGAAGGTTAAGGCGGAAGATATACCTAAGACAGCCTTCCGAACTAGGTATGGGCATTATGAATTTTTAGTGGTGCCGTTTGGGTTGACCAATGCGCCTGCAGCTTTTATGGATTTAATGAGCAGAGTATTTAAACCCTTCTTAGATCAGTTTGTCGTAGTTTTTATTGATGACATTCTTGTGTACTCAAAGAGTAAAGAGCAGCATGAAGAACATCTGAGAATAGTGTTGCAGATATTAAGGGAGAATAAATTATTTGCTAAATTAAAGAAGTGTGAATTTTGGCTGGAGAGTGTATCATTTTTGGGTCATGTGATATCTAGAGATGGGGTGTCTGTTCACCCCAAGAAAGTGGAGGCGGTGGTAGAGTGGAATAGGCCTACTAGTGTCATTGAAATTCGTAGTGTCTAACTTTTTCTTCGTCTTTTCCAATAATGAAAATTCAGAAGTGTGGGAAAACAACAAATTTTATCCAAATCAGTTTAAATTAAAAACTAGTTGGTCAAACTGTTATCATAAAATTTTGCTGAACTAAAAATTTTACAATAGGAAATCACCTTATTGGATAGATTGCCATGCAATACATGCATCACAATTCATAAGTGCATTCTCTTGGAAATTTTCAAGAAGTTAATGGAAACATTTGTGACATAATGGAAAACAGGTAACCAGGACTAGTGGGTAATTTGAACTCTGAAGCAGAGTATAACGATTGGACAAATTATACAAACGCCATATAATACGTATTTCTCTAATTGCATGAGGAATATCTTCTTTAAGGCCTTGGCTAAAGATAGGACAGAGCCATCTTTGCTAACTAAAAGCAAACAACCTATACTGCTGATTGATCCATATCAAGGACTTCAATTTTCTACAGTACCCTGCTCATGAAGTCAAAATCATCTAGAAGAGATAGAATCCTACTTCCTCAGAACCTGGTATTTCATGTTGTATAATACTGGGACCAAAACTTACCTACTCTAAAATCTTAACCAATCTGAAAATGCTACAACCATAAAAGAATTTCCTACCAAAGAAAGACAGAAAGAAGAATTGGCATACATTTGATTACAGAACAGAAATTATCCAAACATAATATGAGAACAAATTAAATTCATCATTGACCAACCTGAAACTCTGCTTCCACGGGGATGCAATCTAGTGAATATGGTTGTTGAAGACGAGCTATAATGCGGTCCTGCCAAGACAGATGGAATGTGTTAGAATTTCCCATCTTTACCTTCACCTACTCCACTACACACTCCACTTCACCTACCTCCACTTCACCACACACTCCACTTCACCTAACCCACTATCACCTCCACTACACCTACTACCACATTTTCTTCTATATATAGATTGTATAGGAATTGTAATTTATCTATCTTGTAATACATCAATCAATAATATCCATCAATATATTTTACATGGTATCAGAGCAAGGTTAAGAACCTAATCATTCTACTTCACCGGCGGGCGGCAGCCTCACCTTGGCCGCCCGCCGGACCTCTACACATACCTTAACTCCGCTGTCACATTTCTTGCTGCCATGGACCATCACTCTCACCTTTGAAATTGGAAGTGTGTTGTGTGTTACCTAGATCAATGCCCTCTTCACAAATTCTTTCTTTTACAGCATCACCACCCTGCTTCTTTCTTTTCACATTTTTGTGCCTTAGACAAATCCAGATCTGCGCCGGCAAGTTGGGAAGCCATCACCATCTGGCATCTGTTTGCTATCATCATGATCTTCACCTGAAGACTCTCTTGGCAGGCCACCCTCAACAGATAATACTTGCACATTCCCACCATAGTTCTTTATGGCTGGGCTCAATATATCAAGATGGCCATTCACCGCCTCTACCGTTGTCTCACTTGTGTGGTCATCATCATACACTTGGCGAATATCCTTGACTGCATCTCCAAATTTTTCCTTCAGTACTCGTTCAATCCCCATTTTCATGGTAGTTGTTGAGCTAGGGCAGCTTCCACATGCTCCTGTTTTCCATTTACCATCGAAATCTTAGCCAGTTGACAACAAAAAATGAATTTGCAAGGCTCAAAATTTGAAACACCACTCAGACTTTGTATAATTATGTTGAAAATCTAATGACCATTTTCACCCTAGAAACACCGCTCAGGAACACGAGTAACAAATTTTAATGACTAGTTCAGACAATGAGGGGAAACAAACTTTCTCGAGTTTATACTGGTCACCCACCTCAACAATTTCAAGTTTCAGCCATTTCTGATTCATTCCAAACCACAAATTTAGCAATGGTTTATTTGTCATCTTAAAGCCATCATGGCATTGATTGGCAGCTGAAATGGGATGTGGTTGCAAACATGTTTAATGAATGAAAGCTTTACGCATGCCTGGTTTTGCTTATAATGTGTGTTCTGATAAGTGGGACAGTAGAATTTAGAAAAATACTTATCTAGTGTCACGGGAATAACATAAATCACCAAATTCTTGGTATCTCATCGACAGTGCCAAGTGTCACGCTGTCTAGCAAATTTACATCATCTAGATGATTTTGGATGCCTCAGCTGCATGCAGTATGATAGTTTTTGAGTTAGTTGGAAGTTTCAATTGCATGCTTGTTTTATTCTTCCTCTTTTGTTTTTATTCATTGCATCTGAGGTATGGGATCTAAAATTCAACACATGAAGGCTCTAAAATCTACATCATCTCTATGTTTATGATTTGCAAAAGATCTAGTTTCGTGAACATCTTCAGGACAAAGTCGTTATGGACTTAATGTCAGCTTTAATACTTGAACGCTTACAGAAAATCTATGAAGCACTGACACGTTCCTAGGGCCTACGTACGAGTGTCGGACACGTATTGGACACAAACATCTCTCTAACGTGTCCTCTTTTTTTTTTTTGAATTTTTGCAGTTGGAGACGCCATGGACATGCTGTGACACTTTCCGAACACGTCTGAGGTGGATCAAAGCCCTAACTATTGGAGAGAAAGAGAGAACGACAGAAAGAGGTCGAGGGAGGAGAGGAGCAAGGAAAGAGAAATAGAGACAGAGAAAGAGATCAAGAGAGGAGAGAAGATAGAGATCGAGGGAGGAGAGGAGAGGAGACAGAGAAAGAGAGCGAGGGAGGAGAGGAGAGGAGCCCTAACCTATTCACATCAACTGAAGAAGCTGAGGTATTCGTCTGCTATCTTCTTCTTCGCCTCGTCCTCTTTGTCTTCTGTCTCCATCTTCTTCTCCTTCTTCTTCTCCTCCCTTTGCTTCGATGTATGCTCTCTCTCTCTCATTTGACTTTCCCCCTTTGCTGATTCACTTTCCCTCTTTTTTATTTCACCCGTTTCTCTCTCTCTCTCTCTCTGTCCACATTCAGTAAAGGCTATAAAGGGACTGGGAGCTTGCGAAGAGAGAGGCAGTGCTTGATTTCTCAGAGATTCAGATCGGTCTCAGAGATTTCATCTCCGAGCGATTTCGATTTTGAAGTTCTCTCTCTCGATTTCGAGGCTCCACCATGACCACCGTCTGCACCAGCTAGGTATTGATTTCTGTCTCTCTCTCTCTCATGCTCTTCCTTCCCGTCTCTCTCGATTTGGTTATTGAAATTACAAACAAGTTTAATCAGGATTTGCTGGCCTTGTGTGAAAGTGACCGGAAGAAGGAGCTTTTGCTGCTACTACAGATCATTGACATAAAGATTATTTCTCTAGGTCATCTACCAAATATTTTCAGATCCTTGGGGAGGCTTTTATTGGAGTCTTTTGTGAAGAAATTCATTTTGGAATTAAAAAGCTGTGGTATGTCCATGATTCTTTCATTTTTATGATTTATAAATATAGCAAAGACCGAGTGCTCATTTTCTCGATTATGAGTCCAGAAATTTGTCTGTCTCTGATTTTGCAGCAGTGCTATTTATACTTGGGTTCAGATTTTGAAGCGAATTGGCATCCTTAATGGAAGTATTAGTACCTTTTGTGTGTTCTGTAACAATTGGGTTGAGGAAAAATGGACCATGTTCTGTTGCTCTACCCGTTGAGTTGGTGTGTTTGGTCGAATATTTTAATTGGTGGGGAATCCAATGGGTCACGCCGGGTTCGGTGATAGAGTTGTTGCATTGGTGGGATGGGGTTTCTTTCAGAAAGATAGAAAAACAAATTTGGAAAGTAATCCCCATGGCAATTTTGCTGCTCAAAAATAAATAAATAAAAATTGCCAACAGGGTGAAGCTTAACCTCAAGGGAGTTTTGTATTCTGTCAATGATTTTCTATATAACCTGCAGCATATTCGGTCATGTTATTAGACTTGTGGTTAGGATTGTTGTTAGATATTGGCTATGTTGTTTCTTGTTGGTTTTGCTTGGGCCTTCTCTATTGACATTTTAAAGGGTTGATTGTTTAGTTTCTATTAGGGGTATTCAAAATAGCCTGAGAACTGAAGAATCGAAGAATCGAATTAAACCGGTCTCTTTGGGTTAGCTTGATTTGGTTTTTTTAGTCCATTGGTTTGGTTCCGGATCTTCAATTTGTCAAATTGATAGGATTGAGTTGTTTCTTAATTTAGACCTGATTTAAACCTAATCAACTTGAGAATCAAACCTATATATGCATATATATATATTTTTTCTTTTTTTAATATTGACGTGTCTTTATATTACCATGGTTTTGTATGTGATTTCAAAATCCTCTTTTCATGAAGCTTGTGCAATTGAACAAATTTTGAATTATTGGTCCAAGAGTGATAGATTCTGCTTCATGTTAAATGATTTAGCCTACTAAGATTGGATATGTTTGAAATGGTGAACAAATAACTAATTTAATATTTTTATATGGATTACTGATTATATTTAAAAGTAGCGTAAGTTTGAAAAGTCCTAGACCAGTTAAACCGTACCGAAAAGAACCGTTTCAATCGGCTCGGTTCGGTTTATTTGAAGAAACAATTTATATTGGTGAAATTTTTTAACTAAATACCAACTATACCAAAGTGATTACATCCCTAATACATGCCATCTTGAAGGGTAGATTTGTGCTTCAACATTCTTGAAGTAAAAAAAAAAAAGAGGATATAATATAACTTTGGATGATTATGTTTAGGTATTATTGATGTCTTGTTTTATGACACAACGTATTATTTTAGTGGCTTCCACAGAATATGAGTTTTAATATTTTTATTTAAAAGATAAAGTTCATTATCCTTCCATCAAATTATATCTAAGTATAATTTTCAAATATGATTACCATAACATTAGTAATATGAAACATTTTTTTTTTCTGAGTAGTAACACAAAAACTCATAGATAATAGGCCATACGGCCAACAGTCCAAATTTGAAATTTTGGGGCAAATGCTCAAATTCTATTCTTTTTTGTCCATAAGAATAACACAATTTGAAAGATTATATATTCCTCCAATCTATATCTTTCCATTTGTCTATTTATCTGTCCACCTCCATCTCCGGGTGTCACTAGGGCCGCAAACGAGCCAAGCCGAATTTTAGTATATTTAGATTTATTTATTAAGATTTTAACGAATTTGAACTCGAGCTCAAATTCAATAAAAATTTAACGAACTGAACTCAAGCCGCATTGGTTTAGGTTTGACTCGAGGTCGAACTTGTTCACGAGCCTTAAGAAACTAAAAAAATTATAAATTTATATTTGTATATAAGACTAAAGTGGCAATTGAAACTTTGATTATACAATTATATAATATATATATATATATATAAATATACTAAAAAAATTCAATATTTTATCAAAATAATAATATCTACCACCACTATAATATAAATGTATTATCTATAGTTAGTTATTATTTACATTTATATTTTTTAAATATATAAATAACATATTTATCTTATTATTTATATATATTTTTATATTATTTAATATACAAATAATAAATATTAAATGAGTCAGCTAGCGAGCTGAACTTACAAGCCGAGCTTTAATATATTTGAGCTTATTTATTAAAATTTTAATGAGCTCAAGCTTGAGTTCGAAAAAAAAAAAAAAAAGATGTAACAAATCGAGTTTGAACAAGCTATTATCAAGCCGAGTTTAAACTTATTTACGAACGATTCTATTCATTTGCAGCTCTAGTTGTCAATGATTATTCTAGTGATTTTTCGGTGTCGGCGGCTGTTGGCTTTTTGGCTTTTTCGAAGGGTATTTTTGTAAATGTGAGCGTGCCAGCAAGGATCAATCAGTCCTTACAGAAATTGTGATTGCCAACCAATTACCAGACGATTGTGTTTTAGTTCTTTCAGCCTCAATGAAGAGGACTTTTACTGGTGGCTTGACTTAGGAGAAATTAAGAGAAATAACAATTAATATGAAGAACAATGGAAGTATTTCATAAAAATGAAAAACTTACAATAGTCCAAACTCAGCCTCGAAGAGGTTTACAGCAACAGTCCACTTGAATCTACTTGAGACTACTCCTATGAATTGAAGTGCAGTGCAGATATGTAAAGTGCAGGTATTGAAAGTACAGGAATGTAAAACTGGAAAGTAAAATATGAAATAAAGACTGGTATGTATGATCTGAGTTCCATCCCTTTTCTTGGGGGTCTCTCTGCTATTTATACTTGTCAAAGATGACCTTCGAACTGCTCTTCGAACCGTCAAACTGCTCCTCCATGATACATAAAGATAATGTGATCTAAAGAATCAATAAGTTAATAAATTAACTTTTTTCCTAGGCCTATTTTGAAAAGTGAATTTTTATTTTTTATTTTTTGACTTATTATAAAACAATGTGCAAAAAAAAAAATAATAATAATAATATATGACCTAAATAAGTTAATAAGCCGACTTCTTTTATCATTCTCAAAAGAGGCCTTATACTCATAAATTCATTGTAGATGTGGCAAAAAAATTGAACCCACCATTGTTAAATGTATAATAAATCAAAAGTTAATATATATCAAATATATTATTGTGGGTAGAATTAAACATTTCCCAATCAATGATAAGCCCAGCCACAAAACAAATTACATGCAATGCAACAGAAAATATATATATTTTGGGAAAATTAAAAGAAAAATATTTTTGTAATAAAATAATTTTTTAATTTTTAATTTTGTCAATTGAAATTGAAATTGAAATTTTAAATTGTTTATCTATTTTTATTTAGTAAAATTGATAGAAAAATATTTATTTAGTCATTAAACTATATCGATGTACATAAAATGATTAAAATACTATTATTAAATTTAATGACAAAAATATTATTTTTTAGTCAATTTTATTTGACAAAAATAAATAAATTGTTTAAATTAAAAAAAATCAAAATATTAAAATTTAAATTAATAAAATTAAAAATTCATAATTTATTTTGTCACAATGATCATTTTATTTTATTTTTTTGTAATTTCTCCTAAATTTTTTGTATTTAATTTTGAGACATGACATAATAAGTATCATTACTATGAAGAATGATGTAAAGTATTATTTTAAAACCAAATAATCTCTCTTAGAGACTGTTTGGCATGTGATTTTTTGGGTAAAATTATTAAAAAATCAAAACATCCATCACATTACTCTTTTTGTTTTTCCACATGTGTTTTTGTAAAAAAAATGAAAAAGTCAAATAAAGTGATTGTTTGGGATTTTCTTATTTAGTGTATTTTTTGACTTTTTATAAAATAAAAAAAATATATAAATAAATATGATCCAAATAAATACACTTATTTTTCAAATAATTTCTAATTCCCAAACGAGCTAAAAAAAAATTAAGACATAACGTTATTTATATTATAATCTAATACCAATTACGTAATTGAGTGACAAAATATAACTAACTCAATAAGCATCGTATGATTTTTAATTTATAATTTTTTTCTTAAAGTTTAAATACTTCAAAAGAGAGATTGAGTTTAAAAATAATAGAAGTTTGTCTTTAGTCCATCCATTCAGCTTGATCCAATAGGTTAACAAGAAATTTTGGATTAAGCACATTACTAGTTCTTAAAATATGTATCATTTTTGGTATCTATTTTTGTAAGTTTTTCAATTTGTGTAAGAGAGGTTAACTTGAGCCTATTAAATTAATTAGGCCTAATCGGAGTCCAATCGGAAAACCCAAAATTAGTGGACCCAGAGAAATTATCGCCAAGTAGACTAAAGTGAATTATATTGAACAAGCCTGCAAGAAAGTCAGCAAATTGAGTCGAGAAAGACCCATCGTGTTTATATCTCTGAAGAGAGCCCAACAAGCTCATCCAAAGAGACCTAGGTCATACGATCATCCGATAAGGTGAACTGTTGCTTTTAGAGAAGATAAAACCCTCAGAGAAGATCCATCATTTGAGGTATTTGTTTAGTCTTGAAATGGCTCAAAATCATGAATATAGAGGCCTATTTGAGCTTGGACTCGAAAAGATTCGGATCCACAAACCCAAAGATCCGAAGTGCTTGGCTTTGAATGGATTCAAATACAAAACTCGCTCTGTTAATGAGTCCCAGAACACCTATGGGTTCGGAGCTTTACGGGATCGACGCACCAGAACCATGGAATGATGGAGTTTGAACAAAGAACTTGATCCCGAGAACAATGTGTGGAGATAAATTCACTCTTCGGTTAAACTAGTCTATACCCGAATCAAGGTGACACGATTTAAGGGGTCCCTGAGACTCGACAATATTTGCGGAGGGCGTCCTTTGGGATCAACCCTGACTCTTTGGGATGATTGATGATCATTGGTTAGATATGGCTAAGAAAAAGGATTCGTTGAGGGGTTGATCTCCTCTTTGGGATTTTTCTCATCCTCAAAGAGATCACTTCTTCGGATAAAATAGCTAGAGAGAATATTTCCCATGTGCCTTGCACATAGACTCCATCGTACATCATGAGGTACCTATAAATAGTACACGCTTGTGGCTTTACAATGGAATGGATTTTGGAGAGACAATTTTTTGGAGAGAATTAGTTTCCCTTCTCCATTATCTATCTTGAGAGTGAAAGTGGGAGATCCATAGGAAAACCTTGCCATTATTCTCTCTCTAACTACTTTGTCTTATTCTTCACCGAATCTCTTATCTCCATCATCTCTTTACTATTGTGTTTCTAATTGTAACCATTGAAGAATTTAAGCCTCTCGTCATTCTTAGAATATTCAAAGTTTCCAAACATTCAAATTTTTCGGCAAACATTTGTAAATTTTGGCCACCTTCGAATTTTTCGGCGACATCCCCAAACCCTTTCGTACAATTTGATTCATGAGATTTATGATTTGAGTTTGAATGGTCCAATTGCTAACAAACATTAGCTTAATCTACAAATAACAGGCCTACTACAGAAATTCACATTGATAATTTGATCAGTTTAATGTGTGGGACTTGTCAACTAATTCATCCCTACAAAAAGATCGCGTTGATTTGATATCGATAGCTATTTGATCATATTAAATTTGTGTTAATGGTAACTAATAACTGTGATCTAATCAAGTGGTTATGGTTATCTGATCAACATGATTTTTTAAAAAAATTAAATACTTGATGAGGCCCATATACTGAGTGGTCTAGATTATCGATACGTGTTCCGTAGTGGGTCCATAGAGGCCTAATAGGATGTTCCAATTGGGAAACCTAATTGAAGAGAAGCTAAATCCTAATAATTATTAGAAAAATGATTGATCAATCGAATTTGAGCTTGCCTGAATTGTCCGAATTAATCAGACAATCAGGGTCACTTTTTTTTATCAACTGCTGTTGTCATCCTTATCAACCACGATCGTTATCATCGTC